CGGGGCAGGCCCGGCCTTGCGGCCTCCTCGGAGTAGGCCGGGGCCGGCACCTTGCGGCCTCCTCGGTGCAGGCCCGAGCCAGTGCCTCAGCCAGAGCTTCGGGCCTCGCTCCCCTTCCAGCTATCGCTCTCCTGGTGCTGAATTTGAAAAGCAATGCCTTATTTTGTACGAATCGTGTTGATTCAACTAGCGCTGTATATTAACGGGATTTTAGTTAAATAAACCGACAGGGCTAAAGTCATCTCTTGAGATATCGGAAGTTGCTGTGAATATTGTTTATACGAGATATTAGGATTTGTTAAATGTGACAGGAAAGGAAGAAAAAAAAATAAAGGAGGGAAATGAGAAAACTTTTCAGGTTCATATCAATCCGCAGCTAGTAGATCACTGAAGAGCTGTTTTATCCATGCAGAAGGGAAAAAAGAGCTTTTCAACAGTAATAAATGCCATCATTAATAACAGGAATATGCCAGGTTTTTTTTCAATGTGAAAAAAGAAAACTTACTACAAACAGTTTTATTAAGAGCTTATTAATCCTGGTGGGTTTAAAATAATATAGAAGGCAAGTTTGTGCTTTTGTGACTCAGTGAGAGGATGGTTTTATTATACCTCATGACCTTCTGTGACATGACTGTACTTATTTTGTCTTATTGAGCTGGTCTTGAATCGGCTCCTGTTACAACTTCTAAGTGCTGATGTTTTTTTAAAAAAAAATTATTGTAAAAAAAAATATTTTAATGATGGGGGAGGGGGTGAGAGCTTGGTGTAGTTAGTGATTTAAACTTATGAATTTTATTTGATTATTTCACTGAATGAAATACTGAGGCTTCCTTGGCCAATGTACCTAGTCCGGGTCTTGGTACTGTAAAAAGAAATGGGATAAATCTGTAGGGAATCATATATGCAGCATGAGGCTGCTGATGTAAAGGGAGGTGGATTTTTTTTTTCCAGCTGTTGTGACAATTCTGCTTCCCAGCACTGACTTTACCTGCTACTACTGTGAATCTGGGTTCCAGATCCTCCAACCGAATCCATGTGGATAGAGCATGTGCCTGGAAAAAAAAAAAAAAAAAGCCGGTTCCAGGGCTGGGGCTTTAAATGTACTTGATAGCCTAGAAAGTTACCTTTAACTGAGTCCTCTAAGGCATGTTTGAAATGGTGGTTTATTTGTGAGGATTTTTTTTTCTCATTTTTAATCCTGTGCTTAAGCTCAGGAAAAAAAAAATGTGATTCTCTATTGACACTACTTTGGATTACAGTAAGTAAGAGGCAATTTTGAGTAGGCTAGTCATTCTAAGCGTCACAATATTCAGTCTTTTCAGGAACTTCGGGAAGCAGGGTTACCTGTTGTGCACATTTCTTTCTTTAAAAAAATCATCAGGATTTTTCATAGCCTAAGTCTCTCTCTTAGTAGCTTTGCTCTTCTTTAAAGCTTTTTGCAAAATGCTTCCTTTTATTTTTTGCCTTTTTATTTCCAAAGTCAGCTTGTTTAAAAACAAACAAACAAATAAATAAGTAAATGCAAGATTCTATGCAACATTCACGGTGAGTTATGAAATTGAAAGTATGAACAGTTTTCTTTGTGTCAGAACTGCCAAGAATTATCCAGGCCATAAATGAGATGTAGTTTATTTGGGGAAGGGAAGGGAGGGGGTTGGTTAGCCTTTTTGTACATTTTTGGAAAAAAAAAAAAAAAAAAAAGGAAGATGAAATTTCATTGTGGATGCTTAACTTCGATATTATGTGTATTAAATCTTGTCTAAATGTGGCAGTTTTCTTTCAAGAAAAATATAAAAACAAAACAAAAAAAAACTTTCTTTGTGGATATTAAATGGAAGGTTGCTCTTTTGATCTAGTCGTTTCCAGTGGAACAGTTTATGAAATATGTTCTATAAGATGTACATTTTTTCATTGTAACATAGAAATGTAAATATTTGATTAAAAGTGCTGCATTTTGATGAATTTTTTCTAGCCATTTTTTAAGAGAAAAACTAGGAATTGAGTATTTTGTGTACGTTTATGACGTTTTCCATTTTGCTCCTCTCCCTATTTAATTTTGAATTCTCATTTAGGATCGGGATTTGTGAATGGTCTGTTTGAGATCATGCTCCCCTCTCTCGCCCTCCCCGTTTTTCCCCCTTCCCCAGCCCTGTGTCATGGAGAATAAAGCTGATGATTGTACCAGTCTTAAATTATTCATGATTCAATAAAATTGATGCTTATTTATTCAGATTTGTGGCTCCCCTGCACTTTTGTCCCTTCTCAATCCACAATTCCTGTTCAGGCTTTGAAGTTTGTGCGGTTTTAGCTCTTAAAACTGTTGGTCACCGGGGCTGCCCTTGGCGTGAGGACACTCAATGGGATGTGGATGTTGGGCTTCGTCTCTGCCCTTCAAGACAAGCTAGGGACTGATGTTGGCTAGGCATTACCTACATCACATTAAAAGAAAAAAATAGGGTGCTAATGGGTAGTCATTGCAATGTTCCGGCGGAAGTCTTCCGGGTCACCGTGTTCTTTTTTTTCCCCTTCTCTTACACTTTTTTCCTTCTGAGTTGCAAACAACACGGCAGCACAAGTTCATCTCTAGCAATAGGTTTTGTCTATCCCTGGGGAACAGTTTTACGGAGTTTTGGACGTGCTTAGGCAAGGTTTGGATGCACTCAAGCTGTTTTTTTCCCACATTTTATAAACTTCTTTTGGTCCACGGAAGCGCATTGGCACAGAAGCCAGTGCTGCTGCCCTGAGCTTGGAAAGCCCTTGAATCCATATTGGACTAGCACCAAAACACTCAACACCGCTCAGGAACTCTTTTTTTTTCTTTTTTGGCCTCCTCTGTCCCTTCCTGGTTCTCTTCTCTATGCTGCTGTTTTCCATACTCATCCTCTCATGATTTTTCTCTTACCTCATCTTCTCTTGAATATCTATCTGTTTCCAAGCTCTCATTTTATTCATATTTTGTAGCCTTCTGGACCCACACCATAGCTCCTCGCAGCCATGGGGGTCAGTGCGGACGTCCTTGCTGCTCTTGGAGGGGGACGTTCCCCAGCAGCGGTTCCAGCAAGACGAGTTTGCAGCCTGGGATGTGTCACTGCGCTGTTCCCTGGGATCTTTCCCAATGCCTTCCGATGTGTCCCTTCCATCCCCTCCTGGAAAAGGGCTGTGGAGTCGTGGGCTGGGGAGGTAGGTGGTATTGGGGCCTGGGTGGAGGAGACCACATTGGGCTTCCAGGAGGGTCATTAGTTTGGGAGTGCGACCACGATGGGCGCGAGCACCGCGTCGCACCCACAGCCTCCCCGCTGCCTTCTGCTCTCTTTCTTCACTTGTGAAGGACATAAATTCATCCTGACTCAAGCATGTTAGCTGATTAAAAATATACCTATATACACACACACTAGTTTGTATGGATAGTTACATTTTTAGAGTTTAATATCATCTGCAGATGTGAGAAAGTGCTTCTGTAAACCTGAATATCCTTTTCTTTCTAAACCTTGCAGAGTCAGGATATTTAAAAATGGTGCAGTAAGCACTAATAAGAAACTGGACCACTTCCCATGCTACTTTTTGTAGTCCCATCTCTTAGTTAATTTGAAGCTCTACAAGTGATACAGATATTACTAGAGTGTTTAATTAAAAATAAGGAAAAAAAAAGAACTCAGACATTTTTCTTAGCTTTAAGTCTTATCAAACTAAAATATTTATTTATTAGAATGTAGTTCTGCTCCAGTCTGCTTAAGAGTTTTTGCCCTCAGTTTCAATCTGCTCTTTGTGTAAAAGTATTTGTGAAAGATTATCAGGCAGCCAGGTGGTTTATTTGGTTCTAGTGTGGTTATAACTGTGCAAAGCTTTAGTTATTCGGTCTAACCACTTCCTACATAAAAGTTAGATCCGTATTCTTTTAAGGTTTTTTTTTATTATTTATTTGAAGCTGATAATTTGTTGTTGGATTTCTATAATGTTGATAAAGGGGGGTGCTTTCTCTTCCTTTCTAACAAATGTCAGAGGCTTTGGTCTTGGACACAGCTGACAAAAACGTATAGGGAGGAGGCAAGCGTTACTGAATGACTAGACTTGGAAATCTACTTTTTTATTTGGCATCCTTTCAATTTATTTTATATACATATTTAAAGTCTGTACACAGTAAAATACAAAATAAAAGTGTTTTTATAAGTTACACGATTAAAGAGCTACACCTGTTTTTTTAGTTTAGCCATCATTTAATTAAAAAAAAATCAAAAAGGGGAGAAAATCTGTTGAGGCACCTTTATATTCATTCACAATAACCTTGGTATAAAACATCCATACAGAGTAAGTGTACAAAATAGTGTACAGTTCATATAAGCTGTCCAAAGACAGCAAAGTTCAGTCCAAATCAAAGAGGCATATCCACTTTCCTCTGTCCACACAACTGAGAGAAGCAAAGTGGAAAATAAAGACGGGCCTATGAGCAAGAAGGTGATTTAGACAGTGCTCTGTATATAATTTTGCTGCATAAATTAAAATGAAAAATATATAAACATATAAGGGTTCCATTACACAAGGCACACTATTACCTGAAAAGTCATTTTCAAGTCATTATCGTTGGTAATCGGTGGGTCTGCTCCTGAAGAATCGTGCTCTTCCGTGTCAGTAAGGAAGCGGTATTTGGTCTGGGTGCCTAATTAACATTAATTGACTTTGGAGGAAATTCTTGCCAGGTCAGACTGGTCTTCAGGTTTTCAAAGTGCTAATAGTTGCTTGAAATTCATTTGAAACATAGCAAAAATGCACCCCCTCCCCCTTTTTTGTGTGTGCGGAAAAAGCATTTTTCTCTCCATGGAATACCTTCCTCCTTGCTGTAAAGCCAGGACCTGCCATTGCTCGTTTTCAGGAGCATGTAGCTAATTGAGCAAATTTTGGTCGCTAAGCAAGGAGAGTTATGACAAGGTTAACAGATACTGTGAATACAGAAAACAGCACATGGGCAAATACTGAATACCTAAGAGTAGGGAGGCTTGTGGCTCTGAGATAAATGACCTGCACTGGAGAACCATGTGGATGTGCAGGAGGGATACGACCTCTTCAATTCATAGCACTTTGTGTTATTTACATCTTTGCAATGTCCCCGGTGATGGCAGGGGCAGGCGGGTGATCTAAGAGACTGTTATCTCCTCCTCTTCCTCTTCCCCATCATCGTCCTCTTCCTCTGAGTCCGAGAAGTCCGAAGGTTTGCTGGGGCTGCTGGAATGGGATGGAGAGGGACACCTCTGGGAGTCCAGCCTGTCCCTCAAGTGCAGGTGCTCTGGGGACTGATGGTAGGTTAAGGGATGCCGGGGGCTGGGCGGGCACATAGGGGGAACTTCCTCCTCTTCCTCTCCCGAACACTTCTTGCCCACATCGCTGAGGTCTGGGTGAGGGTTGAATTTGGTGGGTAAGGTTTGTTCTCTGCAACCACCAGAAGAGAGGAGCTCTCTTTCTTTGGAGTTCCTCCACTTCATCCTTCTGTTCTGGAACCAGATCTTCACCTGGAGGGGAAGCAACCCAGAAATGTAAGGAAAATGACTTAAAGTAAAATAAGGACTAAGGGAACTGCTTTTTGAAGGCACCCTTGAGCCTTCCATACGGAGATACTTGTCCATACTGAGGCTGATGGGAAACACAACCTTCCCCCTGGGAAACACAACACAATCTGGACCTCACAGAGGCCCATCCAGTGAGGACTTGTGCTGCTCTCTTGCCCGATACACCCAGCCCTGCAGCTTGCTCTGGGCTTTCTGATGGTGACGGGCAACCCTCCCACTCCCGGCTACCTTTCCCTCTCCTGCTCCTGCTCCCAGCTCCTCCTCCCCTTGCCCTGGCCCAGCCTGGCCCCCTCACTCACCTGAGAGTCTTTGAGGCCCAACTTGGCCGCCAGCTTTTTCCTGTCGGGCTTGCTGATGTACTTCTGCTTCTGGAACATCTTCTCCAGCGCCTTGCGCTGCACGTCGGAGAAGACGGCGCGCCGCAGCATGCCCCGGCGGGGCTTGCCACGCGCCGCCAACGGCCACGAGAAGGTACCGGGGATGGGCACCACGGAGGAGGCGGCTGGGAGAGAGCGGGACAGCAGTGAGCAGGGCCCACACACCCGTCCTCATAGCCCCGATCCCTTCCCCACACCGCGTTTTCCTCCCCGGCTCTCATCCCACGGGGCCCTCCCAGGGAAAGGGCTAACACCTATCAACCTGGAGCGCTAAAAGGAGCTTGGGCCTTCAATAACTGCCCCTTTTCAGTGCGCGATAGCAGGGATTAGGCACATCAACTGAAACGTGTAAAATGCAGCCGCAGTGGCCTGTTTTGTTAGGAGATTCAAAGGTCGGCAGCCTGAAAAGGCCAAGTGAGGGGTACCAGCTAAGATAGAGGTATAATAAAAAAGCCTTCTCTCTTACTCAAAAGTACTTGATTTTTTTTCGGGCGCTTTTATCATTTCAGGCACTTTATTACGCTTGAGATGAAAATGAGGACTTTTCTGATCCAAACAAAACCAGGCCTCTACAGATGCAGTTTTGAGCAGTCAGTATTCATCTTTTTATATTAATCTCCCCTCACTCCGCACCCTGCCCCCCCCCCCAGAAAAAATGGAGAATTGAACCCGAAGTCATGAAAAGTAACAGCTAATTAGCACATGGCATGGTTCTCAATGGCATTGGTATGATAAAAAGGGCAGAGTTTCGCCTTAAAAAAAACGGGAGGGGGGGGGCAAACCTCCCCAAGAGAGACAGAGATGCTAATGAAGCGTGAATGGTAATTGTGTAGTAATGAACTAACAGAAAAAGACTGAGGACAAGCAGCTAACGCCATATATTACTGGAACAAAAGAGATTTACACTTTCAAACTAAACACAACGGCATGCCAGGCTCCCCGGGAGAATACTGATGGCACAATCGTCTCTTTCCCCAAATCATTTTCATTAAATGGACATGAAAAGCTATTTATAAAGCTCAAGTTGTTTTTGTTAGGCTATTCACACGCCGCAGAAAAGAAGCAAATTCCATTATCAGCGGCATGAATGGGAGCTCTTGGGTTATTTCCCCCCTCTCTTAATCCTCGGTTTCTTTTTAAATTAATAGTTTGCTCGTGTAATTATTTTTAATGTGTTGTCTCAACTTCATAACGCTTTGCCGCTACCAGGATCCCATCTACGAGCCTGTGGGTTTGCTGATTTTTTTTTTCCACTTTTTTCTTCAGCTTTCTGTAAACAGGGTCGATCCTGCCGCGCGGTCGAAGTGTCCAGAGCTGAAGTTAGGGGCCCGAGGTGGACGGGGAAAGGGGTTATTGCGTGTCGGGGGTGAAGGGGGGAAGCCTCGGGCACTTTCCTGGGTCTCTTTCCATCCGCGTGTAAAAGCGACCGACTTCGCTTGGCGCAAAGCGAGCGGCCTCCGCGTCCCTGCGCAGGGCGCGCTGGGCTGACGGAGGGAGCTGCGGAGTGGGGGGTGAGTTTGGTTTTGGGGTTTGGCTTTTGGGTTTTTTTTTTTTTTTTTTTCCCCATTTTATCCCCGCTTTCGCTGCGCGGCGGCGGGAGCTGACCAGGCGGCCCGTGGTGCTGAAAGCGGCGCCGGGGCGGCCGCCTTGGCCTCGGCACCGTGACAGTTCCGCCTAATTTGCCGGTCTCGGTGTGTGTGTGTGGAAATGGGAGCGAGATGTCAAGCAGTCACCGCTCGTGCTAAATAGGGCATCAAATTGGCGCGACTGATTCTTGAATGTTGTACTCTGTCCAACCTCTGAACCGGAGCATAACCCCCGGGGCTGGATGGGGAAGGATCGCTGCGACGTGCTCTGAGCGGGGAGTTGCAGTGCGGGAGAGGCAGAGAGAGGGGAACTGTTAAAGACCTACCTGGAAAGTAGGAAGATCTGATAAACGGCTGGAAGGATCCTTCAAAGTACGGGAAGGAGAAAGTCTTTGGAGGAACGCTTTGAAGCAGCGCGGGGGAAGCTTCTAGTAAAAAAAGACAAATATATTAAGGAACGGGTGACCGTCAGTGCCACTCCAGCAATGGCAACGCGGGAGGACCGACCAAGCTCGCTGCTCCGAGCAAGGCCAGGCTGCTCTCCGGAAAGGGGGGAAGGCGGAGCGCGGAGGCAAACCTGGGGCCGGAGCTGTCCGCGGGCCCGTCGCGCTGCTCGGCTCCCTCTTCCTCCCCGCAGCCTCCGTCCCGTGGGCGCTTCCCCTTCCCCTTAA